AGCAGCTGTGATAGTTTATGATATCACCAAACAGGTAAGACTTTCTGTATACTGTTTCTCTATGCTAACTATTCCACTTGAATTTTGAGTTAAAACCCACAACTACAGAAGCATTTACATGCTATTTCCTGTTCATATCAGTCGGGTACATGTGCATGAGTAGTTTGTTTAGATTTGGACGGAGGTGCCTAGGTGTCTTCAAAATTTAAATGTAAAGTCCTGCTTCTGTGTTATTTAGAATTTGTCCAGACAAAGGTTAGAGACTGTATTTTAGAGAAGGTGCTTTGAATTTCCTCTGGTTAAGTAGACAGTATGATATCCTGCAACACCCCTCCTCCTGCAGCCTATATTCTCTATATAAAATTGAGTTATTACTACAAAAAGCAGCTAGCTGCTTTATTAACTGAATAGAAATTCTATTGTTCGCATATTACTGCTTTTAAAACTAATCATTTTTAAGTATGCATATAATCTTATGTTTGTATTGAGATACTGAAGTCGTCCATGGTTGCTTTATTTTGAAAAATGTAATGAAGTAGTAAGTCTCTGACCTTTTTTCGACATTATTAATTTGGAATGAAAACTATTTTCAGATCATAAACTGTTCTTGCTCATTTCTCATACAGAAGAGGCTAGGAAGCTCTAGTTATACTCCATTTTCACTGCTTTTGAAAGAAACCCCCACTGATAAAGCCGAGTTAGACGAGACATTGATATGGGGATGGTCAAGATAGTTCGCTTACACTTTTATGCTTTCTTGCAAGTTAAATTATTTACTACTAGGGTGAGAGGGCAAGGTTGGTTCTCCAGTGCCTAAGGGCAATGATTTGTTGCTGATGATTGTGGCCATTGTTGCACAGTGGTACTGTTCTCCTTTGCTAATTTGCCAAGAAAGCATGAGGAAGAGTGAATCATCTGATGGATTTTTATTTTTAATTTAAATAGTTGATAGTCTGATAGTTAATCTTGTAATGCGTTATAAGAATAGAACTATGTTCTGCCAGCCTTTCTCAGATCTTATGTGGAACAACTTGCAGAATGAAGAGAGGAAAATAGGAGAGGAAGGTGAATGCGCATTTCACTTTCTGATGCTTAATGTTCAGAGAGTTGACTATTATAGTGGAATTAATTTTTTTTCCCCCAGATGTTTGGCTGTGCTGTCCCCTCATAGATACAGGTACAGCCCTTACTGATTTAGGCACAACTTGCATGTGCACTTCTGATGGGAAAATTTGGCTATAACTTATTTAGAAGCTCTGTTTGAGTTTCAGTAACCATCCCACAATAAAATTGAATCTCTAGGAACAAGAGTGATTTTAATGCTATTAGTCCATTAGTATAACAAAATTGGAATTGTGCTATTAAAAAGTAGGCAGCCTCAACAGGTGTTTGAATTTTGTACTTGGAGAGAAAAAGCCAGATGAACTATCACCTGGCTCTTCAGTTTAGGAAAGAGTAAATTGAGGTTTACCACGTCACAGAGTTAGAAATGCTGGTGGGAGTCATACCTCTTCTAGATGCTGCTGAAAGTATGACAGTGGTTGAGATGGTAATCCACTGGCTAGAAGTTAAAAGTAAACAAGTGAAGCTCACATTAACAGTGAGAGATACTAGCTACTAGCTAAACTTAAAAGAAGAGCTGTGGCGGTTTCTTCAGCAGTGAAAATATAAAAAATCAACATTGAATGTTTTTCTTTTAAAAAAAAAAAAAAGAAGTTTTTAAGTTCAAGCAAGAATTAATTTGGGGAAGCCTCGTGACCTTAAGTTTGAAAAGCAGATTGCATAGCTACAGTGATCCTCTTTTGGCCTGGTGATCTGTGAGATTATCATTGCATTAAGACCATCAAAGCTGTGTTCCTTTAATTTTGAAAAATAACCAAATACTTGAGACGAGGCTGTTAGCTATTTTTTATTTTTCTGATTTAGGATTCATTTCATACTTTGAAGAAATGGGTGAAAGAACTAAAAGAACATGGTCCTGAAAATATTGTAATGGCCATTGCTGGAAACAAATGTGATCTTTCAGATATCAGGTAATACCTCTATTTTTGTTGTAGCATTGATTGCTGTTAATATTTACAGATATCATTTTGCTTTGTTGTTATCATAGTATATCATTTTGGTCATCTGTACTGAGTCTTTCCTAACACCAGCCATCCTATCAATATGTTTGCTTTCAAGAATATACAACCACACCTCAGCATCAGCAGCTCAACTAGAATTATATACATATTTTTTCAATCTCTCTTTTGCAGCCCTTCCTCTGTATTTGTACAGTCTGTACCCTCCAGGTGCTGAATGACGGGGAACAGAAAACTCTAGTATTCTTTTTTGTCCTTGTTTTTAATTTGTGTTAAAAGGTGCAGCACATACTAAGCCATGAGCAAAATCAGCGATGTAAAGCTAGAAGGATGGGCCTAAAATAGAATACATTTATTCTCAGAGAAGCTTTGTGAACTTACCACACTTCACAGCAACTGAAACATCTGATCATTTTATTTAACTGATTGTACCAGTGTCATTTTAAATTGCTTCATGACAACTCAGGCCTCCCTTGTTGTGGAGTGACAGAGATGCTGCGTTTTAATCAAATGAAGGCTTAATACTGGGTATAGAAAGTTTTGCGTGTATATGTTTTTTTGTTTTGTTCTGGATTTTTGCAAGTTCATGTCCCATGTATAAAGCAGAGAACTCCCCGGGTAAATAAGGGGAGGGCTAGATTCAACCCTCCTGCAGACGAACCAAGATGATCCTATTTGTGATGCATTGGAAGCCAGGTTTGCTCTTCTGTTTGCTCTTCTGTTTTGCATTTGTGTTTGTCCTTTCTGGAAATGGAAGCACGCTCTGTTGTACAACAGTAATCCTTTGTGTCAGGCCATAACTCTCTCTTTTCTTGCTTCAGCTCTGAGTATAGACTTAGTGGCCAAATTTGATACTGTCCTCTTAGGACGCCATAGGCTCTTATAATGGTTCAAATACATTCCCCTGTTTTATAATTGTTACTTTGGCCCAGATTCACCACAGCCGTGATACATATGTGTAACTTCAATCACATGATACAGTGCATATGCATATGGATGGACCTGTGCTGGTTCCCTTCCCCCCCCAACCTGTCACTTATCAACCAACACGAACTAAAAAAAATCACTTCTTTCTGTTAAGACCTGAACAAGCCCTGACCCTACAAGATTCCTGACTTCTGTTGGCCTAAAAGTGGAGGATACAGATAGTATATTGCCATCTCCTACATGATGATAAGAACAACTTGTCAACACTTATCAATCAGCTTGTCAACACTGTGAAAGCAAGTCATGAAACATGAGACAAAAGGTTTCCAAATGTGAAGTAAGAAAGGAAGAAAGAATTATAAAAGTAAAAACAAAAAAGAGGACAAATTGGAGCTTTTGGTTTCCCTGAGACCCACTTTAAATTTATTGCTTAAATGTTCTCAGCAATACATTTACTTGATTAGATCAGATTAAATCAAGGATGTTAAGTCTGGAGATTGTCACAGATGGCAATCGGTGCAAATGAATCAATCAAGTGAGTTAAAAGGCAATGCTATGCCCTTCGGTGGTATGTGCCATGCCAGCAAGCTTTTAACTGGTGTTCTGCCACAGACAAGTGTGCATGGGGACATGAGAAAAACTTCCACTGTGAAGTGGTGTGAGAATACCATAGTTCCTCACAGAGTGACTGTTTTCCCACTGAGTTTTCCTCAAGCAATACCTGTTGTTGACTGATCATCTCTTGCTTGCTCCTGTTCAGTCAGTACAACTCTTCCATGCACAAAATATTCTGGTGTTGCATGCTGCTCATTGTCCTCAAAATAGCAAATGCCTCTTGCTCATTTTGTTGTTGTGGTTGTTTAAATAGTTGAGAACAGTTCTGGGAATTTTTTTTCTTCATGGAGTTATTTTCTTTGCATTCCCCCAGCCTTTTCTGCTTCTAAAGTTCTCCGGTGATGTCCGGTTAAAGAGATGTTGGTGAGCAAATAGAGTGGGCTATATTATATGTGATATGTTTTCACAGTTCTTCCAGAACTCTGATTGTTTATGCAAAACATGCAGTGGTATGTATTCTCTGACTGTTTCCTGTCTTAAAATTAACTTCAGTAAAACTGCTGTTAGGTGAAATGTGTCACCAATTTATCGCATTTTTTTCTCCAGGGTGTAGGAAATACATAGGCTTTTGGGTTGGAGAGTTTAAAAATAATATGATGTGAGCACACAAGAGCAAGCTGCTGTTCGAATGCTTTTTTGGCATCTCGCTTCGGTTTTATACTTTTGACAGATGTTTTGCTGGGTATTAGAGAGCTGCTTTTATGACCAACATGAATAGAAGCAAAGAGGACAAGCTGACCGGCTCCCAGTTTTTTGATTCAGCCATCTCTGTCACTCTAGGAGATAATGTAAGGAGGAATGAACGGAAGCAAAAAGAATTTATTATTTTCCTCTAGGAAGAGGCTGGCACTGTTTCTTACAATCATTAACATGTTACCCTCCTCATTTATCACCTAAAATTAGGGTTTGAGCTGCCAAGATAGATTTGGGAGACTTGGGACTCATGCTGCTCTGCTCAGTGTCGTTAATAGGCTATCAGCAGGTCTTGGCACTCTATCAAAATAAATTTCTTCCCTGACTTTGAAGAAATTTCTACTGGTGGACAGGCAATTTTGATTAGTATAAATCCTCATCTTTGGTATTAACTCTAGTACTGCTGAGTGTTTGGCGTATTTTTAAATAACAATCTCTTCCTTCTGACAGGTCTTTGAAAAACAGTCTAACAGAAAGGAGCTGAGACTTGAATATTAAAATGCTATAAGTGTCCAAAATATTTTTTGAGCAACATAGAAGTCAGTCAGTCATAACAGAAACTGAGAAGTGTTTTTCCTCCCTAAAAATATGGCGCACCTTTTTAATAAATCATGTTCACTGGAAAGTGCCAGGTCTTTGGTTAGAGAATTCTGTTCAGATCATTCATTTGTTCATCTAGAACACTTATTCAGTAAATATTCAGATCATCTCAAGGCAGATTGAATGAACAGAATGCTTGGGAAACATTCAAATGAAATAATTGGCACCTTTCAAAGTAAGAATTCTTCTCACTTTCCCTGTAGCCCTGGAACAATACTATCTCAGCACTCCACTGACGATTCCTGCCTTTTTGCCACTTCACCTTGCCTTATGTTTATTCATTTCTTGGCTTTTGTGCTTTTTCTTTCACACAAAGTAGAATCTCAGCAATCTTGACGTCTAGGTTAGGATAACTACATTTGATGTATACAGCCTTTCAGTCCTGGCAGCGTTGGATGGCATGCTTATTGCCCGCTTGTAGTGGAAGCTTATAGGCTTCCTTTAGAAACGTTGTCAGAAAAGGCTAAGAAGTTTCATAGTGCTTCCTAGGAATATGGTCACTTGCTGCTGTTTTACCTTTGCCCAGAATTCTAAAATGTGCTTCTCCTCTAAATCAGAGCAAGATGAAAGTCCTCATTACATAGCCCTGTGTTCCCAAATTTCTTTCATTGCAGTGGTTTGAATGTTATGTAGTTAAGTTCCTTTTTTTTTTTCCCCCCTTCCCAATCATCTGCAGATGGTGGTACCTTTCAGAATAAAGTCCAAGATGCCATTTCAGAATTACTAAGAGGAGTGCTGCCTTCCCTGTGTCTTTTGGAATAGAAAGACATTTAATAGGAGTAAGCAATTACTGGAAACAAGATCTAAATTCGGTTACTGGAATTGCAGCCTAGTTTTTTGGAAACAGTTTGTAATAAATGGGAAGCAATTATTCTGCCTCTCTACTTCTTTCCTATGACCAGCAGACCTATATTTATTTAAAATATCTACCTCTATAAACTAACTGTGAAATTATATTGCTGTGCTCTCGTCTAGGTACCTTCTGTTAAAGTCTAAGACACTTGTACTAGGAATCTCTGGATTGGTACCTCAGTGCTGTGAGGTCAACAGGTTGAAGCCAGTTCTGCGTGTGCAACAGACGACTATAATGCCGCACAAAACATGCTAGGTGATATATTGAACAATTGGAAAGAAAACAATTCTGGCAGCCCCGAGTCCCAACGTGTATTCCCCTGAATTGCTGCATCTGCAGTGCGCATTGGCTTCCAGTCTCTGGTTCTGCACTATTGCTCAAAAATGAGGAAGAGCAATGGTTACGGACAGTAGCAGGCAGATCCAGATTTGGCTTTACCCACCTGACTCAGACAGATACAAAATCAGCATGGGGCTTACTTTGTATCTGAAGCAGAGGTCATTTGCAAATTTTAAGTTGCATTTACAAGCTTTTGACATTTGAAGCGTTGGCTACGAAATGAGGATATTCTACCAGCAATTTTAAGGCAACTTTGCTTTCATAAAGTGGCGCTGACTGGTCTTATTCTCCCAACAAATCTGGCGCACTCAGAGTGTTCATGCTGATGTGTTTGAAGACAGTGGCCTTCATATTTCTTTCGGGATCTGTCTTGTTTTCCTGCTGCTTGTAAACACTTAGATATATGAGGCTCTTACTGTTTTCTTTTAGAAGAGTTGTAACGCACCTTGTTTGAGTGCTTGGTATGGATAGTTCTGCTTGCTGGCTGGATCAGAAGAGTTGTATGTCTCTTCTATAGTGTTTTAATGCTTTTCTGGGTAGAGTCAAATTTGAAAATCAAACCAACAAAAGAATAAATGGCGATGTCACTTAAATTATCTTCCTTTTTTTAAAGCATGGATTCAGCAGCAGGTCCAAGAAATCTGCAAACCAGTCATCAGTGAAATTTTGATATTTGAGTGTGATAATCTAAATATCAAAACAAGAAAAAAGATGACACTTCTTTTGTAAGGAAGGTCATACTAATGCATTTCTGATTAATCCATGTTTAAGGTCTCTTATGTTGCACTACAGGAAGGTTCAGATTTAGTTAATGTGTATGGTTGACACAAACTATTTGGCTGCAAAACTCTTTTTAATAGTATTTCTGCTAGGGAAAGGTCAGATAGGCAGACAGCTGTGATACACATGTGAATCATAGTCTTATCTTCATATGAGTTTGAGAGGGAAGAAACAGGAGCATGAAAATGAAGCCATTTTGAAGGAGGATTATGAGGAATAGCTGTGCTTGGGCAGATGTGGTACATATTAACTCACGGTACTAATGGGATAGTCTGGCTTTTAAGAACTCACTGACTTATGAAAGGAAATCAAGTGCACGATCACAGTGGTTAATTTGAATAAACAGCCGTGTACATTCTGGAACTGGTTTCCTTCTTAAGAAGGAATCTACCACATACCGTGCTAAAAACACCTGGGCCCTTTGAAACACATTATTTTGTGAAGTACACAATGGTTTTTCATGTCTTGGACCTGGTCATGCTGGGTTATTTGGTTGTATTTACGTGGACCTGGGTGGAAACAGGAATTATCAATGAATTTTAATCAATCTAAGATCAAGATATGAGAAATTGCAACTAAGAAATTAAAATCTTTTTTGAAAAGTTGCTTTCTTCTTTTTGTCAATGTTTTCTGTAGGGAGGTTCCTATGAAGGATGCCAAAGAGTATGCAGAATCTATAGGTGCAATTGTTGTTGAAACCAGTGCTAAGAATGCCGTTAACATTGAGGAACTCTTTCAAGGAATAAGTAAGTAATTTTTCTTGCGGTGGTTGTTCAGAGGGCATCTGAAAATAATTCTCTTTCAGGTCTAAGAACTTTTTTCCCAAGAATAGGAACAACCTCCTGGGCTGGTAATATGACTGGTGTTTATGTCAGTGTGAAGTAAGAATGACTTTGAATACGCTAGAGCAAAACAGTATATACTGGTAAGCCTATTCCACGTAATTCTGTATATAAATCCCGGCCTGGGCCACATCTTCCGTTTCACACTAAGCCCGCTGTAGAGGAGATACTGTTGATCTTATTTTGTTGATAAAACTTTCTTTTGTTGAGAAAGTGCCTGGAGGGCTAAGATAAGTAGAAAATAGTCATTGCAGTGGAATCCGATTAAAAAAATATTTTCTTTCCAGATCTTTTAAACAAGGTGAGATTGACATCCCTCACAGGGAGAAGGAAAAAAAAGTCTTACTCAGTTTGCATTCTAGGAATTCCAGTTTCAGTTCCTGGCTGAAAGCGGAGAGAGAATTGCATAGCCTTGCAGGCTGGAAGGAACCTCGGAGGTCGTCAGTCCAATCTTCTGCTCAAAGAAGACAATAGTGAATTTTTCTCCTCCAGGCCGATGATGAAAGATACTAAACGGAGAGGTCCCAGGATAGACCTCTGAGATTCTCCACTCGTAACTGGCCTACGTACTGTTAACCACTGCCCTTTGAGTCTGATGATTCAGTCTACCTATCTAGACTGTAACATCCCAGCTTGGATGCCAGGATGCTGTAGGAGAAAGTGTTGAAAGTCTTGCTAAAGTGAAGGTAGATAACACCTACTGCTTTTCCCTCAGTCCACAGATCTAGTCATTTTATTATTGAAGGCGATCAGGATGATCAGGAATGGTTTACCTTTGGTAAATCCATGCTGACAGTTCTTGGTTACCTTTTTCACCTTCACGCGCTCAGAAATGGCTTCTGAGAGGACTTGCTCCACGATTTTCCTAGAGACAACAGTGAGGCTGACCAGTCTGTAGTTCCCTGGTTCATTCTTCTTGATCTTTCTTAAAATGGCGTGTCACATTTGGCGTTCTTCAGTCATTTGGGGACTTCTCCCAATTTCCACAATCTTTCAAAGACGATAGAGATGATAAGGAGCAGCCTTGCATCATCATTGGCCTGCTCTCAGCACGCCAAGATGGGCAGATGTAGCCCATCTTGTCCCCTTCTGGACCTGCAGGGGGGTTGAGATTCCGTAAGAGATCGCTAACTTGATCCTTTTCCAGTACTGGTGGTTCCTTCTCTCCCTGAATCCTGTTTCAGGGCACGGAAGCCTAGGAGCCATCATGTGCAGCTCAATTTCAACTTCATCTGTTTCTTTAAGGTCTTTTTTTCTTTCTTTCTTTCTTTCTCTTCATATGTTGATGATTGCCTTATCATCTACCACATTTTGCCTGAGACAGGGCCTGTTCACGTGTTGCTTTGCTTGCAAAGGATGCATTTGAAATTGTGAATTAATGAGAATTGATATTCCTAGAAGACACTACCTTTCTATTACCTATTTAGAAAAAGTACAAAAGTGTAACATGGCTGTCTGAAGGAACCAGTACTTCCTTGTGATAGTTTACTTGATTATCTGTGTATAGTGGTTGCGAATGTTCTAGTAGAGGAACTCCTCCATGCTGTGTAACTAAATAATTAATTTATGTCTTTAATGGGCAATGCTGCAGCTGGCAGCATGCACTGCCCCTAATAATGGATATATTAGATGAAGAAAATCAGCTAAATTGAATTTAGTATGAACCAGATAACTAAGCAAGTGCACCTAATTCCACAGGCAATTATTTCTATATATAGAAATATTTGGTCTCAATGGATGTACTTGTGACCTTATCAAGAACTCAGAGGAGAGAAAGGAGAGATTTGGTGGTATATGTTTATAGAAATATAGTGAAAACCAAGTGAAAAATGCTTAACTGCCAGGAGAGTTAATATGAATGTAGATTATTTCTGTGACTGAGCAGAGGGCCTGGATAATAACTTTCTCCTGTCTTATGCTACTTCAGTCTTTGAATTTAGGGCTTCAACTGAGTAGGCTGCATTTTCCAAGAAAGTCAGTCTTTGGCCCAAGTTCAGTGGCAGCAGTTCTGCCTTTTCTATGTATGAAGATTCTCTGTGGCAATATCTTCTGGCCTGTTGACTAATTTTATCCATGTGATGCCCAAAAAGTCATGCTGCGGCTTTAGTTTTCCTTTGACACTGCCTGAGAGTTTGTGGCTTCTCACTGTGCTTCTGTAGAAGGGCATGATTCTGCTCCTCAGCCTCTTAACAACGAGGCAGCAACTTCAGTTTTCATAAGACTTTTTAGGCAGACAGTTAATTCAATATATTGCCTATTTTACAGCCTGGCTTTGAGAGGATGTTCCAACATATGTGGAGAGTTTCTCCATTAAAATTCTTACTGAAGTCGATATAACAAACAGAAAAAGTAAACTAAATTTTAATGTAACTAGAAAGTTACCTCGTGCTTGCTTACACTTTTCATTTCCCAGGAGTATTTCAGCATAATCACTTTTCCTTTTTAAGGTGTCTAACATCTGCCCCTTTTCCAAGGAAAACATTATGACCTGAGTGAAATTGCGTAACAGGAAGGGGGGAGGAATTACTATAGGTAATGATCTAAAGCGGGGGGGGGAAAGGGGGACTGGGTTGTTTGGCTGGTAACAAGATGAATCTTAACAAAATTATGGAGGCTATGGAGAGGTGACTATTTTTAAGGATATTATGTTGCACTATTTTAAAAAGATATTTATTTATTTAAGAAGTCTCTCTTAGGATTAGCAGACTGCTTTGAGGTACGTCTTAGTTGCACAGTCTCAACACAAATACACTGTCCTTAATTATTCTTCTCGGGGAAACTGCAAGATGTGAAGGACTAGAATCAATGAAAGGTTTTGATTTCGGAAAATGGGGCAAATTCAAGAGGAAGGGGATTCTGCAGTCGATATGGTTAGCAAATAAAGTCAAGGAGACAGACTAAGCCAAATTGTTAGCCAAGCCGATGTTCTCTGCCCTGGAGAGTTTGCACTAAGCTGCATGATTGAATGCAACTCCTGGCTGTATGTTGTACCTCTGATTTCAGACAGCAATCCATCCTGATTGCATTTAGCAGAGCCTGACTAAAGACGTACTGTGATTGTGAAACATCACATTTTTTTAATGGTTGAGAGTTCGTAGGATCAACTGGTTTTAATTTCTTTTTTCCAGCCTTAGAATAATCGTATGCATAGCAGCTTCTTGGAGCTTGCCACCAGTTTATACCTCAGCAGCAACAAAAATGCCAGGAATGTATTAAGCAATAGCAGTAAAGTTATGCATGGACTGTACAAGTGGGTCATACCACTTCTGTATTGTCCCTTCTTTTTTGTGGGGTTTTAGCGCACTGACCATTGATTGTGCCTGTGAAGGTGGCTTACCCATCTGGTTTTTAATGACTACACAAGTTTTCCCAAGTGTACTGTAATTTTGTAGCAGTTACATCCTTGTAATTTTCAGGGGCCCATTCACTTAACAAATAAAATAAGTCCTAGCTGTATTATTCACGTCTATCACGCACTGAGCTGTTTCTCTTTAATGTACATATATTGCCTACTATAATAGCATGAAGGTGTCCCATATATGAAACAGAAGAATACATAACTGATACAAGCCACCCTTTTTAAATGTCAGAGCTGAGAATGTCCATCCTAGGTTAATACCACTTTGCCTCAGCAGGTCCAAAAGTAAACGGACAGTGAGACAAAGAAACCACTGAAGAATACCTAGCTAAATGAAATATGAAATAAACAAGTGCTTAAACAAAAAGAAATGATGGTTGTACATTATTTTTGAAGCCTGGCAACTACTGGGGACTAGTGTGCTGCCACAGAAGCTGAGGCTGAAGCATTTCAGCCTCTTTCATGCGGGTGAGAGCGAAGTGAGGAATAAGATCAGAAATGCTGTACAGAAAGCGTGTAAAGAGTTGTTAGCACTCAATCTTACTGATGCCAGTACTCAGAGAATGTGAGACAGGTTCATGTTTTGATATCCATATAAGAAGGTTCTTCCTAGACGAGGCTTCCTAATTAGAGCAGAGTGTTTCTGGCTCAGGATATAACCTTTCATGTGGTAAATGCTCCGTTTTAAATATATGAAGCTATTGATTTCCTAATGCCTTGCCTGCAACTCTGATGCTGCGTATTTAATGTAACCCAAATGATTATTTCCTAGAAATACCTAGGAGACTAAAACAAAAAAACCTCTAGCGTATACGGTTTAACAGGTTGTATACTGGAAAGACTACAGAGGGACGTTTAAAATGTCTGTCTGTGAGAACTGGGCGTGATCCTTTTCAGATGAAAAAACACATTTGATCCTTGCACTGACTGACTTAAAATGGACTTGCTTAGATGAATGGAATTGTAGATGGACAATTCTAGAGCTTTGTGAAAGAGAAATACTGTGGTTTTTATTCTGTTGTCTGCTGATTTATGGACGTCTGTGAACTGCTTTGAAGAGGTCTATGAAAGGCATTTTAAGGCAGCAAGTTCATTTATATTACACAGCAGTCCACATATGCCACTTTTAAGGAAGCCCAAGCTCAAAACTGAATTTTTGTAAGGGACAGTCATCTACCGTGAAAGGATAAAAACCATTGCCCTGGCTTACATAAAATGAATGTTGGCTAGTATTTTCTTTGTGGCTTTGCTCCTCATATTCAAGGATTATGTCTCCTCTTCTTGCCTTCAAATTGTAATTAATGGAGCAAAACTTACTAGCCTCTGGACAACTGTTAAATTTGTAAGGTGCTGGGATTTCTCTCCAACCATCAGAGATCTCCTCAACATAAACTGGTAAACAAACTAAAAGAGCCCAAAGTTAATTAGAGCAGAACCTCAAATCAAGGTTGGATCGCCTAGTAATTACAGTCATTAGGCATTTTGTTGTTCGCTTGGATGATTGTAAGATCTTAATTCTTCTTTTTTGTTGCAGATTTTAATTACA